TAAGCCGAAAGGCATCACTTTCCATTGAAAGTGTCCTTGTGGGCAGGTGAAAGCAGTCAGAGACTGTGAGCTATCATCTAGCAATACTTGCCAGAAGCCACTTTTACAATCAAAAGAGGAAAACAGTTTTTTACCACGAATTTGGTCTAGAAGTTCATCTTTTCTAGGTAGTAGGTATCCATCACCTATCGTATGGTCATTCAATTTTTTGTAATTGATTACCATCCTTCTTTTTCCACGTTTCTGTTCTGAGTGCTTATTGACTAAGAACGCAGGACTAAAGTGTGGGGACTTACTAGGTTCAATTAGATTGGCATCTAATAATTCTTTAATTTGCTTAGCAAATTCTTCTCTATCTGGTGCAGTGTACTGCATGGGTGGAACCTTTATCTTAGTTGTTTTATCAACTAGTTCAATGTGGGCTCTAAAATGGTATTTAGAGATATTGTTGTCTAAAGGGTTATTACTACAGACCGATTATAGTTTATCTTCAATAATGGAGATACTCATAAGATTTAATAAAAAATCTTCTGTGGGTGTAGGTGTGAAAGTACATAAACTCTCCCCTAAACTTTTTTGATCAAAATCAAGATTTTGAATAATATGTTCAGGGTCAGGAACTTTGGTATGACTACCATGTTTCTGAGATTCTAAAAAACCAGGCTGACCTCAATGGTAAGCACGGGTTATTTTAGGGCAAAAAACAGTTTGTTCTTGATGATGGAAGATAATAATTTTTCCCCATTGAGCAAAAGGCTCATAGAGTCTACAAAAATTATTACCAAGTAAGATATCATAACGAGACTCTGTTTGATAGAGTGTTGGTATGATAAAAATTTTATCCTGGATAAGGATTTCTATACGTTCAGCCACGATATCTAGCGTGTGAATAGTATCATCTGCTAACTTAGCATATATTGGATTAGGAGTTTTAGTCCAAAAGTTAGGTGGTATAATGTTCTTATTAGCAAGACACATACTAGCACCTATATCTACGTAGCAGTCTACGTTAAATTTCTTGTATCCACTAAAGGATAAAGTTCCTCTGATGTAAATAGAATTTACATGGGTACGTGTTTGTCTGGTAAGACGTCCTAAATCAAGAATATCTTCTTGAGGAATAGTAATTAAGTCAGTCCAAACGACTTGGCTTAAATCTATTGTTTCTTCTACTTTACATAAAGGTAAAGTATCTTGGTCTAGGAAATCATTGATTTCACTGTCTGTGAGTTGTCTAGACTCATTATGTGGTTTAAAGCACAAGGTAGTGCTGTCATCTAGTAGATGGTCCCATCCATCTATTGTTTCTAGTTCTTCCCATGTGGGAATCTTATCTTCAAGATTACTCTTGATCCGTGCTATCAAAGCTTGTCTCTGAATAGTCATCGGAGTCATAATCACTTTCTGACTCTAAATAATAGATCAGCAGGTTTAAAGGTCCCGCTTGCATATCCACATATTAATTCCGGTCCTTCGATTGGTTGACTTTTAAGGATTCCTCCCCAATACTTATCTGAGGCATCTGTCTCAATAATTAAGGGTTCTTCAGGTCCAGGATGATGGACAGGTGGAAGATGTTTTATTGCTTTCTTAAGCTTATCAACATAGTTGGTATCTTCTGTAGTCCACTGCCAAACAGTGTCTTTCTTTAATTTGGCCTGTAAAGGCTGGCGAATTTGAGCAACTTTTGGGCAGAAATTAGAAACATAATTTAATATGCCTAAAAACCTTTGTAGCTGTTTTTTATCAGTTATGTTACTATCGAATTCACTTAGGTGATTTCCTATATGACTTTGTAGCTTTAATTGTCCTTTATCAATTATGAGGCCAAGGAAATTGACAATTTCCTTGAATAATTGAGCTTTTGGTAAAGATAGGATAACGCCAATTTCTTTACATCTATCTAGGACTTTAGTCACATGCGTGATGTGATCTTTATCATTATTGCTGAATACAATAATATCATCGACATAGACACGACAAAAGGATTCGAATCCTTTGAAGGTCTCATCCATATGTCTTTGAAATATGGACGGTGCCTGCTTTAGGCCGCAAGGCATTACTTTCCACTGAAAGTGTCCTTGTGGGCATGTGAAAGCAGTTAAAGATTGTGAGCTGTCATCCAACAGCACTTGCCAAAATCCACTTTTACAATCAAAAGAGGAAAACAGTTTTTTACCACGAATTTGGTCTAGAAGTTCATCTTTTCTAGGTAGTAGGTATCCATCACCTATCGTATGGTCATTCAATTTTTTGTAATTGATTACCATCCTTCTTTTTCCACGTTTCTGTTCTGAGTGCTTATTGACTAAGAACGCAGGACTAAAGTGTGGGGACTTACTAGGTTCAATTAGATTGGCATCTAATAATTCTTTAATTTGCTTAGCAAATTCTTCTCTATCTGGTGCAGTGTACTGCATGGGTGGAACCTTTATCTTAGTTGTTTTATCAACTAGTTCAATGTGGGCTCTAAAATGGTATTTAGAGATATTGTTGTCTAAAGGGTTATTACTACAGACCGATTATAGTTTATCTTCAATAATGGAGATACTCATAAGATTTAATAAAAAATCTTCTGTGGGTGTAGGTGTGAAAGTACATAAACTCTCCCCTAAACTTTTTTGATCAAAATCAAGATTTTGAATAATATTTTCAGGGTCAGGAACTTTGGTATGACTACCATGTTTCTGAGATTCTAAAAAACCAGGCTGACCTCAATGGTAAGCACGGGTTATTTTAGGGCAAACAACAGTTTGTCCTTCATGATGGAAGATAATAATTTTTCCCCATTGAGCAAAAGGCTCATAGAGTCTACAAAAATTATTACCAAGTAAGATATCATAACGAGACTCTGTTTGATAGAGTGTTGGTATGATAAAAATTTTATCCTGGATAAGGATTTCTATACGTTCAGCCACGATATCTAGCGTGTGAATAGTATCATCTGCTAACTTAGCATATATTGGATTAGGAGTTTTAGTCCAAAAGTTAGGTGGTATAATGTTCTTATTAGCAAGACACATACTAGCACCTATATCTACGTAGCAGTCTACGTTAAATTTCTTGTATCCACTAAAGGATAAAGTTCCTCTGATGTAAATAGAATTTACATGGGTACGTGTTTGTCTGGTAAGACGTCCTAAATCAAGAATATCTTCTTGAGGAATAGTAATTAAGTCAGTCCAAACGACTTGGCTTAAATCTATTGTTTCTTCTACTTTACATAAAGGTAAAGTATCTTGGTCTAGGAAATCATTGATTTCACTGTCTGTGAGTTGTCTAGACTCATTATGTGGTTTAAAGCACAAGGTAGTGCTGTCATCTAGTAGATGGTCCCATCCATCTATTGTTTCTAGTTCTTCCCATGTGGGAATCTTATCTTCAAGATTACTCTTGATCCGTGCTATCAAAGCTTGTCTCTGAATAGTCATCGAAGTCATAATCACTTTCTGACTCTAAATAATAGAGTTCTTCGTCACTGCTGACATTGTCTAGGGTTTCTAGTGGGGCTAGATTATATTGTTCTAGGGCTTCATCTAGAACTATTTCTTCAAAGGCTTTTGACTGGGCCTTTGATCCTTGGGTATTAGGACACTCATAACTCATGTGTCCAATTTGTTGGCATATCCAACACTTACAAGTTTTCTTCTTCTGAGGACAGAAGGCTTGTTTATCCGAGCTAGATATAGTTTTAGGTTCATCTTTTAAATCTTTATAATTTCTTCATTTAAAGAAACGTTTTTTTCTTATTTGGGTGTCCAAAGTATTTTTTATATCGTTTGGGATTTTTATAATACTTTTTCTTCTTAGGTTTAGCAAACCTATATTTCTTTTTGAGTTTCTTCTTCCATTTTTTAATTTGTGGAATCGTTTGACAACCATACATGGTTTCTGGTCCTTGAAACTCAGGACAACAAAGATTAATTTTCTTTGTTCTTTTTAGCAATTGTCTTTCAGTACATATTTTGGTTAGTTTCTTAGAAACTATATTTTTGGCTGCTATTAGACTTAGTTTGCTAATAGGTGGTAAGGCTTGATATTCTTCAAGGCTTTCTTTTCCTATATAAGGGATTTTTCTGAGATATCCTTCAATGTAACTAACCCATTCAGAAGTAGGTACACTAAGTAGGGCTTCTTCATAGTCACATGTGAATTGATCTAGATAACACAGATCACAGATCTGTAGCTTAGTCATTCTCTCTCGAGATGCTTCTTGTTTTATCCTAACTTGATTTTCACCGTCGTTAAGATAATTTGTTCCTAGAAAGACTGTTGATAACAGGTTTACTATATTTTGGAGAAAATCATCTGAAGATCCTCTCATCAATTTCCTTGAATAATTGAGCTTTTGGTAAAGATAGGATAACGCCAATTTGTTGGTGTTGGCGCCGTATAATGGCGAAAATACAAGGGTAGCGTCCAAAACCTTCCAAAAATCCACAGAAGCACAATACAGTGAATACACATCAGTCCAGCAATTCAGCACGTCATTATTGAAATCAATTTGAAGGCAGAATGAGGAGAGCAAGTTTTCTTTAACATGTTTGCAGGGCAATCATACAGCACAAGCACGTGACTAGGCAATTCATAGAAACAAACTGAAATGGAAACCCAGTAATGCCTAAACTTAACTGACATCAAATAAGAATCGCATGTCCTAAATTTTTTTCTATTGAAATAGTGACGCTAAATATAGAGTATTTACTTTAATAAACTTAGTCGCCAGATATTGTCCCTCAACTTAGCCCTGATGGCAAACAATCCGTACACAAATTCAATACAATGAACCCCCTACTTCCATGTTGTGCAAATTTTTGCTCCTCAGCACGTTTACCATCAATATCAGATCCTGATGTTTAATAGAAGATTCCAACCTGCCTTAAATTAAATTATATTTTGTGTATTGCCATTCCAATTGGCAGATCACCATGAGACAAGGCATCAAGTATCTGGGACTAATTTCAATTTGGCCAAAAAGAACACGCTATCTTTCTATATAATTGAAAAAGAAAAGGAAAAGAACCCATCTGATTAAAAAACATGAAAAAAAAGCATCATTCATGTTAACATCAATATTCAAATCTACATTTTAATCTCACTGTCATTACTTTCTCTTTCCCTCTCCATCCCCTGTTTATCTATTCTACACCCAAACATAGACCTAGAACGATCCTTGTAGCCATACTCAATTGGGAAAGTGAATACAGATCTCACATTGTTAAGGTCATAGATCATGAGGGTAGATGAAAGCCATGGAACCCGAGAATATCAATGGACCACATATTGCCAAGCCTCACCCTTTGTGCACAAAATAAAAAATAGATAAACTTGAAAGCCTGTAGCTTGTATAATACTTCTCCAAACAACCTACTTTCCTGACAACGTGTCCAAACACAAAATGCTCTCTTCCTAAATGTAAATGTCGACACGTGATGTCAGGGTAGGCTATGAAAGACAAATAACTCAACTTCTTCCGATCCATAGCTACCAGTCATGGTTGAGGCTCACAGAAAAATATTTGGGTCTAATGCCACACATGCTTGACAGATGTCTAAAACATCATCTCAGATGACAATGATCGATGGGGACTAAAAAGGACACAGAATGAAAGTTGAGGACTGCATGTATCGGTTTGTTTTTTGTTTTTTTTTTGCAAGGATTATATTGCCATTTAGAGATCAAAAAGCCAATTGGATCAAACTTCACCTAATAGTGACTGTGGGTTTCAGTGATCACAACCATCACAAAGAGGGTTTCAATTTTCAAACAAATGAAATTAACACAGATAACTTGTAAAACGTAAAGGAAAGTTATCCAGCTACTCAGAAACATGTTAATTGGTCAATATTAAACTATAACTTTATCATTGGTAGGACAGACCTGTAAAAAAAGTGCCTACAACTTCAACTAGATTTCCTCCTTCAAGTGCAGTTTTGACTGAAGCTTATGCTTCACAATAATATTTCGTCACATCCTATGTTCTATATTCAAGTAACTGACAAAACTTTCATAAGAGAAACACCGACTACACATAGAAGGCAATACATGAATCTTATGAAGCATCTGTGACAGATGAAAAAGACAGACTATACCGACATTAGAGATCAAAATTCAAGAACCTAAATATCAAATATTTACAATTTTTAAAAATGTACAAAGCTCGGGTAACCAATTTGTTTTCAGATACTTACCAAAGCTGCAAATGGATGAGATAAAAGCCCTAAAAAGCACAGGAAGCGATGTTGATACATTAGTATTTCAAATTGAATACATGTTCCCCTGATAGTGCATTTTAAGGAGAAAAGTATCAAATCTAAAAAATGAATTACTTACTAAAATTTACTTTCACTTCAAGTTTGCAGCAGCAAATCTCCAGAACAAGTGCCTCCAGAATGACAGGCCATGGATCAGATGCATTCACTAAGTTAGAACATATATTAATATTTACCACATAAAAAATATGAACAAAGACTCCCTATGAAGTCTAACATAACTCAAACACATACATATTGTGAAACAAAAGACGATGCCAGATGTAGCAGCACTGCCATCTAAAAAGCATATTTAGCACTTTCAAGGGGTTATCAAATAAGCTCCTAATAAACAAGCCAAGGTACCTTCTCCTGGGTGCCTTTTAAGCATTTAAGCACTGGAAGGATGCCTCAATGCAGGGGAAGACTATCCTGAATGAAAAATTCAATTAGACTCTCAAGGACCAGAAAAATCACATAAAATGGTAAGAGAACATATAGACTGCAAATATAAAGAAAAAACAATTGAAGCAGTTAGAATGACAGATGTTTTGATATTCAGCACTAAATACAAACTACACAAGTAGAAACTAAAAGTTAACACAACAGAAAACGAGATTGTTCCTGCCATCTTTAGCAAAGGGTCTCAGAACAAATACAATTACTAACTCGTGGGATAAAAAATATTTCTTCCCTTATCATGTAACCCACAAATCCAATTGCAGTGACCATGTTCAGAGTTAAAAAAAAAAAAAAAAAACAATAATTGTAGAGAAATAAGAGCAAATATGATAAATTTTCACAATGAACACGGATTAAAAATGATTACAAGAGGAAAAAACGCCTTTGGCAAGTTGTCTTACAATAGAACCAGTACACCACTGAAATGAACCCCGCCTGTAAAGAGTACTGTTGACCACATATCACCAGTTTTGACGTCAACCATGCCAAAAACTGCTCAAAGCTCAGAGGCCAGAACACATAAGATAAAGATAATGTGCAATGATTAGATATCTGAATGAGTTAGGTCATAATGTACAAAATCTAGCGCAACAGCATTTCTGGAGTCAGAAAATCAGCAACATGGTTCACTTGCCCGTGATTAATGGGTGAGCTAGCGCTTGATTAACTGTCATCCTCTTCTCAGGATCCAATACAAAAAGTTTTTCGAGAAGATCTTTAAAGTTCGCTAACATCTTTGGATCCTCACCAGGAGAACCCGAAATAATAGATCCAATATCTTTTGCCTTTATGTTCACAATAATCTTTTTCATAATCTGCAGAAGAAAAATACATATAAATCAATTTGAAATTGAACTACCATGAGCAACAAATGTTAAGAACAGGTCTGTAAATGGGACGTGCATACAACATACCTTTTTAGTGACAGGATCTTCCTCTGTAGCATGAAAATTCAAATCATGGTCAAAATGTTGGTCAACAAATGCACCCTGCATACATAAGCCAAATCAATATCAGATAAACAATGAACGCCAAATTCATGAACAGATATGCAGACCACCATGGAGAACAGCTTACACCAAAAGGTTGCCTTTTTGTGAACCACCAACAATGACAATCAGGGGTGTGAATTTTACCTTCTTAAGCATCTTCTTTGGGAAAGGGCCCTTCAATTCCATGTGAAGTCGTAGCATGTCATTGTTTGTAGAACCAGGAAATAGAACTTTTCCAGTATAAAGCTCATACAAGCAGCAACCAACAGACCACACATCCATTGGATGATCATATGTCAAACCAAGAACTGCAAAGTAATTCAAAATAAGCATATACTTTTTCCTATATGGAAATGAAATTTTAGTGTAATAAATGTTTGGCCAATATCTACTCATTTTTTCTGGAGAACGTATGTCAATATCAATTTATCCAACAAAAGGACAGAATCCGAAATAGAAGTTTAACAATGGAACTTACTTATTTCAGGAGCACGATAAAACCGGCTTACAAGGTATGGTGTAATTTCATTTTTACCAGAAAACATCGCATTACCAAAATCACAAAGCTTCAGCACATTTTTTGCCTCATTTACCTGTGGGAAACGAGAGAAAAGAACAGGTGAGTTAAATAGCAGGTAACCAATAGATAATTAACTAAAGAAAAATAACACAACTGTGGCACTGAAAATTACCAGCATATTATCAGGCTTTATATCACTGTGAAGAACACCACAGTTTCTTAGATGCTTCAGAGCAATAAAAAGCTGCTTCGCATATGCTCTAACAGCAGTTAGTTTAAGGCCAATATCCCGACCAAACTTTTTTAAGACCTCACGCAGGTTCATGTGAAGAGATTCAAAAACTAAACAAAGATGATTTCTATACTTGAAACTTGAAAGAAAACGAACACAATGACGCTTGTTTTCTGGATCTTGACCTGCTAATTTCTTCAATATTGAAACCTCTGTATCCCCAGCCTTGCGCCTAGAACATAGATGTAGAATAGTGGCCAGTAAAATAGGTTGCCAAGACAAATATGGATAAGAACAGGTGGAACACAATGTTATAAAAAAAAATCACTAACATTGTTTCATTGTTACGTATAATTTTTATAGCCACTTCTTCAGGTTCATCAATGCCAGCCTTCAGATCCTTCGCACGAACTACTGTAGAAAAGACACCTTTTCCATGAGCAGCAACAATCTCATATCGACCATCAAGTACTTCTCCAAATCGGTAGCCTACATACCAAAAATGATATTAGCATAAATAACTGAAAGAACTATTAGAAGAACAGTAGCAGCATGTTGATCAACCAAATCCATAAATTTTCAAGAACTATAAATGTTTGAGACAAATTGAAGACATGCCTTTTACTTTCTACTATTGCCTCTGAAATGATGTAAAGTGAAGTCACATCTTCCAGAACAGGAAAAACACAAGCTCTGAATATAATGGAAAAGAAAACTGAAGAGGAACACTTGAAATATGATGTCAAAGAGACTTCTTTACATTTCTTTTTTAAGCAACAATGAGAAGTAATAAGAACTGCACTCTTTCTTGTCTCTCACCAAGATAAAAACCAAATATTTCCAATCTCTTACTTTAGAAAAAAGAAACCACATGATATTTGTAGCTTTATCGAAACTACTAAACAAATAGCTAACATTTTATTGGGATAGAAAAACAATCTGATAAAATAGATTAAAAAAAAGGCCTTTAGCATGAAAAGTCAAGTTCAAAAACATCCATATCTTTTTAAAAAACAGATTTCTGTATTGGGTTCTCTATTTAAAAAAAGAAGAGATGATTACGTATTAGAATACTTACTATAATACCCTACAGGATCATCCCAATTGTCATGGAGGCCACTCCTCACAATTGGCAAACCTTCTCCTTTACCCTGCAGCACATTCAAATCACAAATCCTTGGCATAATTGAGTATAAACAACACAAAAGACAGATAAACAAATTGCAGGAAACAGTGGATCTTACTGATTTACGAACTCCAACAGGCGTCTCTCCAAAAATATCATCACAATATTTTTCATCTGATCTCTCACTCTGTACAAAATAGCAACCAAAAAGAATTGATAAACTCCAATATGATTCAATTGTAATCGTGCATACACTTCCCACCTATTTGAATATTAAGCTTATTACCCAAGTAGCTTAAAAAACATGACATTGGAGAAAAAATGGACAAACCTTTGGAGAACCTTCTCCAAGCCCTGCAGCACCTGAAGTCCTCTCAGAAGTAACTTGTCTTCCATTATGTGAAGGTGATTTCCCAACAGAAAATGATGTCTCAGCAACATAAACATCAGCACCATCTGTCCTAGCATCGAGAGTTTCTGGAGCAACATTGTCGGTTGCTGCTGAGTTAACAGGACCTTCTAAAGGCTCCTTATCTACTCCACATGATACAATTTTATTGTTAGAGGAAATTGGCATGAGAAACAAATGATAAATTACAGAAAACAAACAGAAATCAGTTGGTTTACTTATCCATGGGTACTTAACCCTGCTCAATATCAATTATGAATCAGCAGATTTTTTATTTAGAATTTTCAACTTAAACACACACATCTTCCACCCACCATAGTTGCTTGTGAGATGGCACCAGAATTATTGCATGGATGTAACTCAAATTAACAAGTTAAGCATTTTCTAACAACAAAAACCAGAGTTTTTTAGCCCTACGATGAGAAATAACACCACATGTAAAAACACACTCATTGTTTACGTTGCAAAAATTGCAGGCAATAGTGGAACTCTGAATCATGCTTCTTGAACTTCAATAAGAAAATTACCAGATCTAAGTGAGGCTCATCAAGCAAGCATGTACACCTTGAAAATCATGTTTATATATGATATAACAAACCAAACAGTTTAATGCTGATCCTGAGCTCAAAAGTAAATATAAAACATTACAAGGACTGGGAAAGTACCTTTGTCTGCATCTTCTGATTGAGACTCATTCTGCTGGTGTAAATGCTTATTTCTATATTTTTCAAGAATGGCTTCCCTTCGCTTTCTACTCTCCTCCTTTATTCTATTGAGATCTTCCTCTTCCTGTTCAGCTAATTTTAATGCCATCCTTTTTTCAAAATCATCCTGTTCATCTTCATCTCTGAAACCAAATATAAAAAACATAATGTTAGGTCCAAAGGTGCCCTGCAGATACATATTTTCTTTTAGTAAAAAAAATGTTTTGAATTAAAGTAAGCATTTTTATTTTATCTATAAAGAATACCTCTTTAGATTGTCTCTTCCCTGTCCAAAAGAATTGCTGTTGATATTATAGAATTTTTCTGAATCACTCTTATCCCTAGATTTCTCCCTATCCCTGTCATTTCGCCTCTCCCTTTCCTGTTCATTCCCACGATCATGGTCCCTAACTCTATCCCTTTCCCTGTACCTATCCCTATCCTTCTCCCTTTCTCTCTCCCTGTCTCTATCTCTGTCACTAGCCCTATGCATATTTTTGTGTTTGCTCAAATCTGTTTCCTTCTGTCTTTTTCTATCTATCCCCTCCACCCTGTCCCTACTCCTCCCCCGCTCTTTATCCCTCCTCCTTTCCCAGTCTACCACCCCATACCGATCCTTCTCCCTTCTATGGTCGCTTTCCCTACTCTCATGTTCCATCTCCCTTCTCTGGAAGCTTTCCCAGCTCCTCTCATGTTCCATCCCCCTTCTCCTAACCCGATCCACCTCCCTCTCCCTGCATCTCTCTTGTTCCTTCTCTCTTTGTTGTTCCCTCTCCTTCTCCCTCTCCTTGCTACTCTCTCTATCCTGTGAATTCTTGTTGTGATACCGATCCTCTCCATCAAAAGATTTGTTGTAACTAACACTGCTTTCCCTATCCACATTTTTCACTGAATCTCTACTGCCATGTCGAAGATCCCTGCTGTTTTGAGACATTCTTTTACCATCAGAGTCATAATCAACCCTGTCATGGCGTCCTTTTCTTGTCAAAAGATCATTGCATTCAATATGGCTACGAGAATGCGATCTCTCCCTAACTAGATCTCGTGACATTGATCTACTCCTAGAATGAATCTCATAATGGTACCTTTCACACGAAGGTGATTGTGCCCTCTTATGCCTATTCTCACTGCGTTCAGAAGATGATGACTTTCTACAATCCCTTAATTTGCTATCATCACCCCAGGTTGTATTGATATCTGGGTTAGTTTTTCGCTTGTTACTTCTCTTTGAAGGGGACCTAGATTCCACGTGCCTCTTCTTATCATCTTTATGGTATTCACGACCTAAATTACCATTGGCAAGATCCTCCAAGTCAATTTTAGAAACTAGCTCATCTCGAAGTTCAGCCCTGGAATCTCTTCGAAGGCAGACCTCATTATTCACAGAACCAATGTCACTCTTGTCAAATCCCTGCCATAAAATATATGAATAAAATTAAGTAACACAAACTTACAACATTACAAGCAGTGTGAATAATTAATAAAGGAAGAAAACACATGAGGTGAGTATGCAGTAAAAAAACATAAATAATGAGAATAACTTCTTCTTACGAATGAATATAAAGCCACCAGTTCTCCATTGAAACGCCTAGAGGAAACTTCTTTCTTTTTGCAATGCACACATGTTCGTGTTTGTAGTGCAAGCAGGTTCTTACATATGTGTATGGAACATTCTCTATAAAACTCTCACCAACCAAAAATTCATCACATATTCCAAAAATCAAAACAAGCATCCGTTTGGCCGCTGAGAAAAGCATAAAGAAAACATTTTCATTCAGAAACTCAAATTTTCAAAAATTCAAAAACCGAGGAAAGCCCCAGGCAAGCAATTATCAAATTTTTGTAGCTATAAAACGTAGTATAAAAAAAGAATTGGAATTTAAGATTCCACATTTTTGTTATATTTCTCAGCGACCAAACAAGAAGCAAAACAAGGCAAAAGAGTAACAGTCTGCATAAAAAATATAGATAAAAGAGGGCAAACAGAACACACCAGATTCTGAGAATCTGGTACTTCTTCATGCAATTCATTGGCCTCGACATCGACACCACCAGAACCTTCCTCCTCAAGGATCTCCCCTTCCTCCACGTCATCATTATCAACTCCATTACTATTCGCAACAGGAACCGGAGGAGGAAGAGTAGCAGGAACGATCTCTTCACCGCCTTGTTTTGTATCCTCTCCGTGCTTCTTGCTACGACAGTGGCGATGTCGGTGGTGATGGTGACGATGTTTGTGGCGTTTCGAGGACTTCTCCGCCTCGTCATCGGAGGAAGATCGTCGGTGCTTGCGACGAGAGGCATCGGAATCGCTGGCCATTGTTTGGTGTTGGAAATGCTGCAGCGACCTAGGTTTGGGTTAGGGTTTTGTTGAATTAGGGATTTGCTTATTTGTTCGGAGAGGGAAGTCGAGAGAATGGAAAGAGGGTGAACTTTGAAACACAGTAATTTGGTAGCGTAAGTTATTTGAAGTGGAGGGGAGGTGGTTGTGTTGCGCTGGCGGGGTATCTATCCTTTCCAGATTTGGAGGGTGGGGCGAGTGCCTAACAAAAGCGTGCGCGCGGTGGACATCGTCAGCAGATTAAGCCCATTAGCCCATTTATTATGCTGTTGTCTCGCTTTTTTAATCCCTTTCGATCATGGGATCTGCAAGAAGTTCATGGGAGATTCCACATAAAGCAGTCCTACCAGTTGTAATTATTTCATTCTGGCATTTTTTTAATGGTTAAAAATCATCTTTATACTTGACCACCTAGTAAGTCCTTTTTTTCCATAAAACAGAATTTATATTAATTAAATCATTTTTAAAGCTGATATGTGATTCAACACAGGCGGTGTACAAATTTTCCTTCATTTTCTGGGAGCACGGACTAGATGCATCAAATGCCCAGGGGGTAAAAAATCATAGACCTATGGAATGCAAAGAAGTTTTCTCTGGGTCCGGAAAATGTAATCCCAGCATATGCTATTTGAATGGAAGCTGTTATATCTGGGTGTTTATTTTTTATATATAATATATTTTATAAAATGTTTTTAAAATTATATTTTACATGAAAAAAATTAAATTGATATTTTTTTGATTATTTTTCATGTTTTTAATATATTGACATTAAAAATTAAAATAAATATATAAAATACACACTAATCCTATGTCAGATAAAAAACAATTAAATCTTAGTCCGAGGTTGGATCATTTTTTTTTACTCTTAAAATTATAAAGATGTTAAAAAGTAAAATACAATGCATGTTATATCGAATATTTTTAAAATATTAAGATAATAATATAATAAAAAAATTTATAAAAAAAATTTAAAAATAACATTTTGGATTAAGCCAACTTTACCAAAATTAACATATAAAACTCGCATTCCGGGATTTGAAATCATAATAGCTCCTTGGGACACAAACTTTAGAGGCCGAAAATGAAAACAATATTTTTAAAAAAAAAAAGACCAAAAAAGAAGTGATATCTAGGCAATTAATCTAACTTAATTCTAAAACATTTTAAAAAAGAAAATAAATTTAATAAAAACTTATAAATAAAAAACTTGAGAAAACTAAGATTATTTTTAAAATTAATGAAGAATCCTATAAAACAAATAAATTTTTTAGCAAAGCTCAATATCCAATTAAATTAAATGATAAATGTTAAAAATTAAAAGAAAAGGCTTAAAAAAGAAGAAAAAAGCAATAAACATGAATGAATCTTTTAAATATAAATTAATTTCTTAAATTTACATCTCATGAATCTCAAATATATAATCAATTAAGAAACTCAATTTTCAATCAATTTAATGTTGAAGTTGAAAAAAGGAATTAGAAAGAAAAAAAACATCAAGTTAAAAAAATTCAAAATAAAAAAATAATAGTTAAGAGAATGGGGATAAAATCCTATACAAAAAAAAAAAGGATGAAATCATAAAAAAAAATTAAAAACATTTCAAATAAAACAAATAAAAATGAAAAAAATAAAAGTTAAACATGACATATAAAAAGATTTAAAATGATGAAAATAAAATCATATTTCAATTCTATAAATTAATTTTAAAAAATATCAGTTAAAAATATAAAGATCAAATACAAAGGAAAACACAAATTAAATGATTGTTATGAAAATTTAAAAGTTCACGTGCAAAAATTAAAAAATTTAATTAGCACCAAACCAAAGAATTAACCAACATGTCTTATCTAAGAATGGAGGTCACATTATGATGCTTGAAATATCTAAGAATGGAGGTCAGAATGGAGGTCACATTATGATGCTTGAAAAAAAAAAAGAGAGAGAGAGTTTAGTTTTTGGTTATCACACGTGTTATTTAAATATAACGAGTGATTTATTTGTTATTGTCTACAATATGTATATCAATTATTTTTTTTATTTTTTTTATTAAAATACTAAATTACATGTCCTCATTACATAAAAAAAAACTAGGTTAAAATTTTTTAAAAAAAAGTATTTGTTTTTAAAGTCAATCAAATTATTTTATTATACTTTTAAAAAGTAAAAAAAAATGCTCCTAAAAGCCATTGATTGAGTTTCGCATTCAATTATAATAATATCATTTGAATATGAAAAAAAAACCCAAAAAAACCGAGTTATCTCTAATCGTTTTTATAAAAACTAATAAATCCGATAAAAAAACTACTTAACCCCAAAAGACCAAAACTAATAAGTTTTTATGAGGGGAAAAAAACGTACCCACATCATTTCAATTCACAGCACTAGTGTTAAGCTAAAATGCTTTGCCCGCATCCTCTAGTTTTGTTAATTAAATTTCTATCATTTACAAACTACAAATGAAGTGTTTTGCAGAACTCATATTTGTGGATTTTTTTTCCTACTACCTATCTTGTTCCTAAGTACATAAATATTGAATTGCATTTGTACATCTCTACACCAATCATTCACATTTTACTTCAATTTTCCACATGCCTGCTTGAATTTTTAGTTTCCTTTCTATTTCAGTTGCATCTGCCAAATTTCACGAGGTATGGTTTGGTCACGCGTACTATAATGGCACGAGGAATTAAACTAATAAGTTTTTATGAGGGGAAAAAAACGTACCCACATCATTTCAATTCACAGCACTAGTGTTAAGCTAAAATGCTTTGCCCGCATCCTCTAGTTTTGTTAATTAAATTTCTATCATTTACAAACTACAAATGAAGTGTTTTGCAGAACTCATATTTGTGGATTTTTTTTTCCTACTACCTATGTTGTTCCTAAGTACATAAATATTGAATTGCATTTGTACATCTCTACACCAATCATTCACATTTTACTTCAATTGTCCATATGCCTGCTTGAATTTTTAGTTTCCTTCCTATTTCAGTTGCATCTGCCAAATTTCATGAGGAATGGTTTGATCACGCGTACTATAATGGCACGAGGAATTTTGTACGACAACATCATAAGAGGATAAGAAGTGGGAGTGCATGTTGGCCAGCCACCACTGGCGTCGGGTCTTCCTGTTCTTTGCTGCTGCCGAAGTCCGAGTCCGGAGTGTCCAGTATTTCAACGCTGTGGTTCATCTTTTTCCTTCGCTTTGTCGCCACATCAGATGGTCTAAATCTTCCACGTGCGCTTATCCTGCATTGCTGCTTCTCAGTCATGTGTGTCTCTACCTCTTCAATATAAAGGGAAAAAAAGAAAGGTTAATTTGCTATTAAATGCATGCTAATATCTTCATTCAAGACAGTTTCACCTTTCATGTTGAGAATGATTCTCCTAGCTTTTTTTCAACAAGCATTGCAGTCAAGTCTGCAGTCATGGATCAAAAGTAAGAGCCTATTTACTTCGCAAACTTTTAGTTTTCTAGGAGAATGAGCTTGACGTGGGGGGAAAGGAAACGGAAACAAAAACAGAGCCCGTTTGAAGACTATGTTTGTAACTTACCCTAGCAGGTACGAAGCTGAGAAAAGACGTGGTACGAAATCAACGATGGGTTGATATGATGGCCAAGAACATCAGTAGAAATAACGATTTTGAGATTTTGAATAATCATAGATTTACTGTTTTTTCTGCTTTTGGAATGTCCGCTGGAAATCCTTCGCGTTCATTTTGGAAACTTCACTTTTGTGCTTTGTTTATTTTCCACACAGGTACAAGGGGAAGCATATCTTTCCCTCTTGTCCCATGCTTTGTTTTACTCCATGACACATTATACGAAGCATCTCTTTCTTGTTTGCAAAGGTTTGTGTTGCGCAAAATTGAAGCCACCTTACATGTTAGCCTGCCCTCAATTCAGTGCCCTGAAAATAGAAAAAGTTAATAATGGTAGATTTTACGTTCATGTAGTTGTTTAACTCCTTCCTAGAAAAGTACTTTTTTTCCCTCCTTCAAATTGGAAATCAAGCTCTGCACTTATCAACAAAAACTCATAATTTCCATGTCTGTCCAAACATATCTGCCTTTTTTTATCTGTTTCCCTAACAAATTCAAGCATGCTCGATAAGAAGTATCTGAGATTCTATTTTACTTTCTCAACGTAATATAACAATTATATACGTGGTTATTTCACGCAGCCAAGATCTTTTGATAATAGAACTGTGTTCATTGTCGAAACATTTACATGTAATCAAGGGCAGTAAGAACGAAAAATTCGCTTGATCACTGCCATTTTGCCTAGAGGATTTCTGTATACAGCAGCAACTTGCCTTGTAGAAACTCTCACAACAGGATACCTACAAGTGAGAGTTACCTTCTTTTCCAATACATTGATCGATACAGATTCTGTCTCTGCCAAAAAAACATTGTATAAAAAGAGGGGCAACAGTGGCATTTGACGCATTTTGGCCTAGAATTCTGGAGGATTTGCGTCAGAGGCAGTTTTTTTCAACAACCATGTTTTGTGAGAACATGTCAACCATTGCCTTGACTAAAAATCCAGTGTTCCATAATCGCAGAGTACAATATTGAACTTCGTCATTGCTATATCAGAGAGCTTATGAAAAAAACAGCAGTTGAACTTCATTTTTGTAGAAATGGCAGATGTCCTCCCAAAACCAGTTGCTACAGAGAAGTTCTATTATTTCCGAGACAAACTGGGAGTTGTAGATTTTTATATTGAACTTCGTCATTGCTATATCAGAGAGCTTATGAAAAAAACAGCAATTGAACTTCATTTTGTAGAAATGGCAGATGTCCTCCCAAAACCAGTTGCTACAGAGAAGTTCTATTATTTCCGAGACAAGCACCCAGTTTTAGATTTTTCAAATAAAAGGGGAGTGTTAGAAATAATTAAGAAAAATCTAGATTCATTATTCATTAGAATTTCATGAATGTATGGAGTTCATGTATTTAGTAAGGGTTCTTGTACATGTGACATGAATATATATTTAATGAGCCTCTAAAGAGTTACTTAGAACCTCTATATAAGGGGTGTTTTATTCTCTTGTGATAAGAAGCTCGTAGACACTTTCAGATTTATTTGGAAGACTTCTGGCCTTATGCTGCTGTTCATAAATTATCACTGGTACAGAGCTAGATCAGTCTAACAGGAAGGGATTAAAGCATGTGTGTAGAAAGAAGAAATCCCAAAAGAAAATGGAAAGTAAACCCTAGAGTGAGAGGATGGAGGAGTGACATTAAAAAAATAGAGTTGCGAGATAATAGATCCCCAGACAAAAGAACTGGGACCTTGCATTAAGAGAGAGATAGAAAAAGCCCAAGAGGGGCTACCTGCAAGTTGACAAATTCTTGCACAAGAAATGATGTGGTACAAGAGAGACCACACATGAAGAGAGAGAAGAGAGCCCTTCCTAATGAAGGAGGTGGAAAATGGACAAGCTTGAGTCATGATAAAAGGAAGGTAGGATCTTGGTGAAGAGTAAGCACAAAAGCCAGTTGAAGAGCCAAATCTTGAAAGAAAGATGTTTGGCTAGAGAACTGTGGGGGCAGCCATTAAAGGAGAAAAATGACTAGGAATAGCAATGTTTAGACAAATACAGTTGCTGAAGAATGAGATTGAAGAGATGGCAATGAGATGCCATTAGCTAGCCATGATAAAAAGAGATGGCTCAAGATGGCGTTGCAAGAAGAAGGAAATGGTGGCAACGATGTAGTTGTCTAACAAGCTATAATGAGACAGTGGCTAAAACAAAGCAATGAGTGCTTTCCAGGGTAAATGGTAAAGAGCAGGAAAGTATGCAAGCATCTGCAATACATCTCTAAATTTCAAGAATTGTGAGATTTCCAAAATTAAGGGGGTTGTTGGAATTAATTTTAAAATCTACATCAAAAGAATCCTTAGTTATTCTAGGCGCATGTATACCTTGTATCATTGCAAAATGACATACAAATATGCAGGCTAGATACTTAGTTGAATAACATTCCAACAATCACAGTCATCTAAAACATGGAACGTGGAAAGAAAATAAATGGAAGTGTGAATTTCAATTAATAATTTGTCCATCGTTGCATCAAATTTACAGACAGAGTCTGAAGGTCCAGCCCAGAAAGTAACAACCGCTGGATTGGGTATTTTAGGAAGAAGGATGTGTATTTCTCAACAATGACAGGGAAGTACACTTGTGCCATTTCAAAGGTTGATGTTTAAATAATGTTCTTCTTTTGTACCAGCTTTTCACATAACAGAACATACGATGAAACTCGTGCATTGCCACAGAAAGAGGCCTAATTATTTGATTCAAGGAAGCATTTACACGAAATTGCTAAAAGGAAGTCAGCAAGCCCCAAGAAAAGAAGGGAAGAAGGATGAGGTTACTGTGGCAGCAAGCAAACAGGACCGCCTTTAAAGGAAATGAAAGGGCATTTTTGCTGTTCAAAGAGTATTATTATTAATTTTAGGACCACATCAATGACCGAACGTTAGCTCAGTCATCGCTGTAACTCCAAGAGAATTCCTTGGAGGTGCTTCCAAACCAAAATCATCTTTTAATTAGCAGTCTGGAGGAATCCTAAGAACTCGTTACTTTTCTTTAAAAGCTTAACACCTCAAAGGCCAAGTTTCCAGAAATCTTACCATTCATTCTTGACATTATGTCAGCTACTCTCCTTTGACATTCTGCACATCGAATATCTGCTGAAAGAACAACTACCTGAACCTGCTTGCAATCAGCACCCACAATAAACCATGAGAACTTGCATAATTCTTTGACTGTAGTTGAAAAAAGTAAAACATGTAAGCTCAACGTAAGAAAAATGAGAGAGAGGGAGAGAGTTCTAACAAGAGGCACGGTTAAGGATTCAACAGAGGCCAGGCTAGTTCCAGAATATAGCATGTTCTTTGACTTCTTGATTCCAATTCTTTGTATCTCCTTTTTAGGCCGTGAAGCAAGAGCCATATCTTTGTTCTGTGACTAAAATCAGCAAAGATACTCATATAGGAAAGTGAGGTAACAAGTTCAATCCCATCTTGAAATGGGCAAGGGAAAGAAAGATGGAGAACGAAAATGATCTGAAAAGGATCCAAGAACAGCTTCTGCTGTGCTGATAGAGCAAGCCCAACTTTTAAGATGCTTCAATTTTTGGAGAACAAGGAATCAAGATAGAATAGGTTACAGAGCCTAGTAAAAGTTAAAAGGGGTCTTTAGTGCTTGGGTGACAAAGATGTTTCATTCACTGAGGCAGGCCCACACAAAACACTGTTTTTGAATTTTTCTCCTCGCGAATTATTCTTCGTAGCTTGCTTATGAGACCAAACACTTGCATCAGTACTCTATCTTTTATTAAGGTCAATCTAAATGTCGTGTCAATAAAGAGTTTGGCTATGGCCAAACTCTGTAGGCTGCAGCGAGCCAATAGAGCTGAGTTTTGAGACAAAGAGCGACCTTGTAGAAGGTTTGATGGGTCTCATTCTCGGCTTTGTCATAGCTCCGCGCTAATCAAGCCACTAAAGCATGTGTTCTTTACCATAATAATGTCAAACGTTAACAGCTAAACAAACGAAAATTTTGCCTCCTTGATTTGATTGTTCGGCAACTTTGATGCTGAACAACTGGATTAACCAAAAAATCAAACAAGTGGCTCGTGGTTTTCTACGTATAAGCAAAGGTTTTTTATACTGCGGTTATTTTTTATAATGTTTTTATTTGAAAGTATATTAAAATTATATTTTTTTAAATTTTTATTTTTAACATTAATATATTAAAACAATTTAAAAAAATAAAATAAAATAATTAATTTTAAATAAAATAAAATAAAATTTTAAAAAACTACAGTTAAAACGCTACAAAATTAATTTGAATATGCATCCTTTTTTGCTAGTTTACTGGAACAGAGTGCTTAACCGCTAAAAACTTTTTAATAGATGATGCTGTTAGCTCATACAGAATATCGATAATGAAATTAATAAAGTGACCAAACCGATAATAATTATTATTAAGCTAAAGATTAGTTTGCGGTCAACCAAATAAGTTCTTATCTGGTTTTGGGGTTGAATTTGTTTTGTGTTAAAATTTGATATTTTTTATTTTAAAAATAATTTTTTAATGTATTTAAAAAATTTTGAATATAAAAAATAAATTTTAAAAATTAAAAAATATTAGTTTAATATATTTTCAAACAAATACACTTTAAAAAAAAACAATTTTTATCACTCTCCAACAACTTTGTTTAAAAAAATTAATATTGCACTGCAAGGTTTTTTAAAAAATATATAAATTAAAATATATTTTGTCAGATTTATTTTTTCATAAAATATTTTTAAAAATCAAACCATTTAAAAATCAAAGTATGTCAAAACATGCAGATACCAATATAGAAGTTTGAAAGGAATCTTCCTTCTCAAGGTGAAGAATTGAGCCGTTTATATCAACCAATGGACCACTTTTGAATCTTTTCTAGCACAGGAACCCACAGCCATAACAGAAATATAAATATATAAGTTCCACATGGTTATCAAAGAATCACAACATGCATTACACCGCCACAGAGGCATTTGTCAGTTACCCTCCAAAGCCGGTTTTTGCTGCTGAAGCGTAAAATACAGGAAAGCGGAACAAAAGTCCCAAAAGGCGGCACAGCTAATACCGCGCATAAAATGAAACTCGTCAATCTAAAACAGCTTGAGCATGGAGAGAAGTAAGAAGGTAAAATTTTATTGCCAGAGATGATATACAGATACAAATCACAAGCAGAAATCATGTTGCAACAGTATTTCAAGGGTACAAGTATATGCAGGGGTTAGAACTCTATAAGGTCATTCAAAATTGCTGCCTGATGTTTGTGGACCCCAGCGGCTACTGTTAGATACAAATACATAGCTCCGGTGAAGAAACTTGGGATTGGATGCCATCACTTCTCAGAAAATAGTTTTCAAAACCGATGGCAGTGGCCTGTAATCTATTGTGTTGCATCGAGTACATGCACCATGAGAATATTTACCTCTGAAAAAGAACAAAAACTACATCTACTTGAGAGATGGACGAATAACCCTTCCACGTCCCAACAAAAAGAAGCCTGTCTCAGGCAGATCTATAAGCAGGCTTGTTAGAGGCTGAACAACAGAAAAAGAACGAACCCCCAATGGACAGCAGCTCTGTTCGCCCACTTTCGAGGTTGTCAACATCAAAAATCTATCATAGGCAAGGATTCTATCGGCTACTCATGTATACCTCTGCAAAAGATCAAAAAGTAACATCTGCTTGAGATATCCTAATAACAAGGAACCAATCATCTAGACATAACCAAGCTTGATAGAGGCTGCACAACAGCAGAGGTAAAGAGAGAATCCCCCATGTACTTGCAGTTCTCATGATCAACTTTCAGGGCAGTTGGAATCAAAAATCTTTCACCTGAATTGGATCCGATGGCTTCTGATAACCTTCGACCCCCATAATTGTTGGGGTGCATCTTATGGCCAGAACTCCCACTACCACGTCTTCTCTTCTTTATCGACCTCCACCTCAACTGGGCTAGCATATTATCCTTTGAAAGATCTGGAACTACCTTCAATTCTTTTCCCATATCACATCCAGAGTCTAAAGAATAATCAATACATCCAGGGTTGGCTTTTCCTGATTGCCTGGAATCAGGAATAGCAGCCTGGGCCAATTTGCTCTCATCAGATCTGAACTTTAATTGCTTTCTTTCCAAGCAAGATGATAAATGGGACAGAATGTCTGGTCGTCCGTCGATATGTATCCACTCATTTCCCACCCACTCTTGGGAAAGTCTTATGTCAGAGCTACAGAAAACTGATTCCTTCTTTTCTCCTAAAAAATGTTGGGTTACAAAATTGAAGTTAACAAAAAAAAATGACACGGGATTGAATAATGTTACAATTTAATTTCCAAGGAAAGAAAGTTCCCAAACCTGGGAAAAAGACATGGATTCTATCTTCAGATTCTTTTTGGACAACGACACCTTCCCACCAACCATCATTCCACCAAGCATCTACAGCAGTCCCCACATCAGCAATTGATGCTGCTTGATCTTTATTGATCTGGGGGGTGGGGCGGACAACAGTCCTTCCACCAATCCGGATAGCTAATTGGTCAGGAGCAGCAACCCTAGATGCCAAAACCCATTCCTACAACATAAAACAGCACTGTATGTTGGAGTGAACTTGTAAAAATATGGACTTAAAGGGACATAACTACATGCGAATGACTTCTTTATATCCCCTCCTGTTTTCCACAATGAAAAGCAAAAAAGTTTGCAAACATAAGTAGGTTTAACAATACACACCTCTAATTTATTGGCTTCGTCAGCTGCATCGCTGATATCTTGATATCTCACCTTCACCTTATCTTTGTGCTTCTTAATTATCGAAGCTCGGAACCAACAACCTCTAATACCACTATCCTGAGAAAGCAATTCAACTTCAGAGCCAACATGTAGATTTTGAGGATTTTGCATAACCTCTGTTGTGGACAAAAAGGCAGTATGCTCTTCTCCCCTTCTACTGCATATCTCATTTCCAGTTTTGCTGTCAATCCGACTGTTATGCAAGTTTTGCATGTTAAAACACCTAGCAGTAGTTGATTCTTGTCTGACAATGTAAACATCGTCATTGTCTTTTAATCTGCGAAGCCTCTTCTTAGGTCTCATCCTAGTAGCATTATTGTCATGTCCTTCACCTCTCAAGCCATTGCCTGGATATTGGGAATTCGCCAGACACTTTGAAGGAAGGACACTCAAATACCCAAGAATTTCCTGTCTCCAGTAACCTTCAACTTGAGTAATGTCAAAGTGATTAACATCTTCATTGTCAAACAGCTTGTCACAAACGAAAGCATTGAACCTAGTACATGCAGCCTCATTTAAGAATCCCTTGAAATGCTGAGGACTCAAAACAGTGGCCACTCCATCTATGCATTCAATATTGAGATCTTGAAGACACAGAGAAAAGAAAATCTCTCTGTCATTAAAATTGTGAGGCAAGACAATACCAACCTCATCAATTTTGTGAAACCATCGTACCATAACCATTTTGTTCCCTTTCAAGTCCTCGTAGAGGTCTTCCAAGTAAGCAATGAGTCGTTTATCCTCCTCAGCTAAGACATAAACAAAGTCATGAACCTGAAATGTTTTCAAGTAAAGCACATAAAGAAGTCAGATACAATTGGGGGGGGGGGGGGGGGGGGGGGGGG